GGTGAGCACCCGGCAGCCGGGACCGGGAAAAGCCGAACCGCGGCCCGACCCCCCCGCGACGGAGGAGCCGGGGGAAAAGCCGGGGCGAGGCGAGGGCAGGCGCGGGCCGGCTGGTCCGGGCGAGAGCGGCCCTAAAAATCGGAGCCCCCGGACTAGCGAAGCGAAATCCAGAAATCACCCTGCAACAGGTACGGAGAGCCCCCTGCCCAGCGCTCCCGTGCCCCGGGCTGCTGGTCAGATCCCGCGGAGCGGAGGCGAAGCTTCCCCCCCCGCAAGCTAGGCAGCGGGGCCCCGGCCACTCCCGGGGGTTCGGCAGGACAGGGACCAAGAACGGCTAATGCGGGAAGAAACTCGCTAAAGGAGAAGCTTGTTAAATAATTTATTGATTTATACAAAGTCTTTCCAACGCGGGTGGAGACATTATTCGATCCCAATGTAAAATCGTGTCCGTTTTTCTCTAGTGCTTTTTTTGGGGTTGTTTTCTCTTTTGATATTAAGCGTAAAAGCCAAAGGCAGGAGAAATCAAACTGCCAAAACACTGAGTAGAGGGAGAGATTGGAAGAAAACAGCCGTTTTTACACTAGAAATATACATCACAAAATCTGAAATTTACTATATACAAAGTGGCTGAGTTTGGATTTGGCGACCCATACAAAACGTAACAAAATCTGATTGTTAGGAGCAGGAAATTGGCAAGAAGGCTAAAAGAAAGAGGGTCAAACCTTAAGGGGACACAAAACAAAAACCAAGAGTTGGAAAAATTCCTCTGAAATTTACATCGATGAGAAGGAAAATAATTTCATAACTTATTCTGTAAAAAATATATACATTTCACATACATCTCAGGCTGTACAACACACCACTTTAAACATCCAGTTACAATTCACCTCCGTCATGGTGCCTACCGCGGCGGCTCGCCCGGGGCAGCCGTCGGTGCCCACGCCCTCACAAGGTGTCCGAGCTGGTGCTGCAGGGGCTGACGAGGGACAGGTTCGTGGATTTGTGCTTTTTCAATAGCCTCGTGATTTTCTCGTCGTCTGAGTTGGGGTCCAGGGGCTTGTTGTACTCGTCATCGTCGTCATTGTCCGAGCTCTCCTTCAGCTTCTCCGTCTCCGAGTCGTGCTTCTTCTTTGCCGAGGCCATCTCCGCCGCATGCCGCTTCCGCCACTTGGTCCGTCTGTTCTGGAACCAGACCTGGGCACCGGCACCGGGCAGGGCTCAGCCCCACCGCCGCGCCGCGCCCCCCCCCCCGCCCCCCCGGGCCGCGGCCGCCTCCCCCCCCCCCCCCCCCCCCCCCCCCCCCCGCAGCGCCGGGGCAAGAGGCTGAACCGGGGAGGGGGCTGGCGGTGACAAGCTTGGGTCACCCGCCCGGCTCCTCCGGGGATGTCGCCAGCAGGAGCTGCGCGGCCGTGAAAGCGGCGGTTTTGCAGAACAATCGTCTGTCAGAAACGGAATACGGTGGCCAGAAAAATAAGTCTTTTTGGCTCCCAGTACACTTCACCACTTCGGTGCACCTGAAGACTTCGCTAAAAAAATCTGCGTGGTAAATTGCAAGGTAAAGAAAGTTGTGCCAATTACAGGACACGATCTCCCTTGAAAACTGACCCGCTGAAAGCAATTACCTGGGGCGGCCTTTTTGTTTTGGGGTTTGGTTTTTGTTTTGATTTTGTTTGTTTGTTTTGCGGGGTTTTTATATATATATATATACACATATAAAATATCTATTATTCTAAAATTACGTGCCGCACGAAGAACTCTACTCACAAAATAAGTTATGTAGAAATTGGCCTAAAAATCTATCCGATATCCAAACGTAATTTAAATTATAACTGACTTTAAAAAAAACCCTCCCCGTGCGGTTGTAGAGTTTTCATGTTTGCTGATGATTATTGCGAAAGCAAAAGTGACAGCGCTGCCTCGGCAGCGAGAGCGAGGTAGCGGCCGTGCGAGCCCATGCCCAACGCGCCCGCGGGGACCTACCTTCACTTGGCTCTCGGTCATCCCTAAGGAATAGGCGAGGCGGGCTCTTTCCGGTCCTGCCAAGTATTTCGTCTGTTCGAAGGTCTTCTCCAAAGCAAAAATCTGCTGCCCAGAGAAAGTCGGTCGCGAGTGCTTCTTCTTGCCGTCCTTGTCCAAAACCATCCCCGTCTGAGCTGCAAGCGGAGGAGAAACGGCTCCGTCAGAGACGGGGTCTGCACCGATCCCGGCTCGGAGCCGGGTCTCCGCCCGGCGCTAACAGGGCCGCGGGTCGCGGCGGGGCTGCTTCGGGGCCCCGCCGCCGCTGCGACGCCGCTGGCTCTAGAGCGGGGTTCGGTACGGGGACATCCCAGGACGCGGCGGCGGCGGGCCGAGGGGACCGGGCTGCGGCGGGCCGCCCCCGGGCCCGCCTTCAGGGCGCCGCGGCCTCCCCGGGCCGGCCGCCCCGTCCACCGCGCTCGCCCGCCGGCCGCCCCGGCCGCGGGGCCTCGCCGGTTCCCGGCGCGTCGGTCGGCCGCCCGGAGGGGCCGGGCCCCAGGCCGCCGGCCGAGGGGGCACCCCGGGCCGCTCTCCCCCGCGCCCCGCCGGAACTGGCCGCACTTACCGGGACAGGCGAGCCGGGGGTCTCTCCAGGGAGAGCCCTGCACCACTCCCGGCCAGAAAATGGGCGGCCGCCCCGGCAGCTCCGCCAGCGGCTTCGGGTAGCGGGAGACGGCCGCGGGGTTGAAGTACATCCCCGCCGAGGCCGCCAGTCCGTTGATGCGGGGCAGCCCGCCCAGCAGGTTGCTGGCGGTGCCCACGGGCCGCCCCAGGATGTCGCTTATTCCGTGCGGCGTCCCCAAGGGGAGCTGCGTGTTGAGTCCGCCCAGGGCCGGCGCCTTGAAGCCGGAGGGGTTCTGCAGGGTGTAGGGGAAGAGGGAGGTCTTCATCTCGGCCATGTTGTGCAGCGCGGCCAGCGGCGTACTGCTGAGGACGAACGCGCTCTGGCGATTAGCATCCATCTGCCCCACCGCTAACATTTGTGGTCATCAACGAGCGCGGGTCCTTCTCCAACCACGCCGGCAGCTGCTCCGTCGTAACCCCCACGCGGGGAGCGCCGGCCGCGGGCGGGACGGTCTTCGCTCGCCGGTTCAAAGCGGCGGCGAGTACCAAAGTTTGCCGGGAGCAGGAAAACCCCCAGCGCTCCTCCGCCCGCCCCCGCAGCCCGGCGACGCGCACGGCGAACTTCCAGGCGGGGGAGCGCTGACCGCCGAGTCGGGGCAGCGCGGCAAACCGGCGGGGCGGGAGTCCCGGGGACAAGAGCCCCCCCGCCGGCAGAGCGTCCCCGGCAGGCTGCGGCTCCTGCGCCCCGCGCGGGGTCCAGCGGGACGGTGCGGGCAGGGGCCGGGCTGCGCTGCGCTCCGCGCCTCGGCCGCGCGTCCCGGCGGCGGCAGCGCGGGAACCCTGCGCGCCGCGCCCCGGGGCGCAGATAACCGCGCGGGCACCTGCGAGCCCCGCGCCCATTGGGCGGCCGCCGCCCCGCGCCGCCGCCGCGGCCCAATCGCCGGGCGGCGAGCGCCCCCACCCCGACACGTCACCGCCGGGCCGGGCGGCCCCCGGGGCGCCGTGGGAGCGCGCGGAGCCGCACGTGGCCGCGACACGGCCGACGGGACCCCCGCGCGGGCCCTCGCATCGCCCCCCGCATCGCATCCCCCCGCATCGCATCACCCCGCATCGCATCGCATCCCTCCGCATCGCATCACCCCCCGCATCCCATCGCATCACCCCGCATCCCATCGCCCCCTCATCGCATCGCCCCCGCATCGCCCCGCCGTCCCCCCCCGCTTCCTCCAGCCCTTCCCGGCGGGCGGGGGGGGGGGGGGGGGTGCCGAGCAGAGGCCGCCGGCGCCTCGAACGCGCGGCGGGACTCGCCTCGCGCAGAGCTGCCCGCGGCGGCGGGGCCGGGAGGGCGGCGGCTCCGCGGGCGCGGGGCTCTGCGCGGTTCTTCCCGCCCCGTCGCTGATTTGTCGGGTCTGTCCTCGGCGCGCGGCAGCCGCTCCCCTGGCACTAGAGGCGAACACTCGCGGCAGGGCTGCAGAAGGGACCTGGTGTCTTGCGAGGGGCTGTTTTGCTCGGCTCCCGCGGCGGCCCCGTTCTGAAACACGGCGGCATCGGAGCGGCCCTCCTTTCGAGACCCGGCGGAGAGGCAGAGCCCCGCGTCTTTAAAGGGAAAGAAACGGCTGCTGCAGCATCGCGGAACGAAGCGCGTTCGCAGAATCAAAGTTACCACAGGTATTCTTCTGAATCGAAAGCGTGCTTACTTGTCAAGAAAGAAGAATTCGGATTCGAGGGTTTTATAGAATATAATTCCGGGAACGGGGTTAGCCTGCTCTTCTCCTTACAGCTTCATTTTCCTGCGGTTTATGATACATTGCTAACCAAGGAAAATATTAACCACAACAAGTGGGGAACTAAAACTTCTCAAGTTGTACACAAAGTAAACATGAATCGACTTCATCGTATCAGAACAATTAATAAAACGCGCGGTCATTTGGATGTAGCTATGTCTGTCGTCAGAACCGTTTGCAGATGAATAGGGTTTCGTCTAACTTGAAACAACAGCCTTAATGTCAATCTAAGTTTGGGAAGCAATTCCTCGGGCTCGATCAGTGATCTTTATTTTCAGTCGCCGAAATTAGACGTGATGTAACAATCTCTGTATCTCGTTATATATGCATCCTCTTAAATAGCTTAACGTATAACCGTGAGATTAAAAACGAAGCTGCCCTAAAGAAGGTTTATTAAACGACTTCATTGCTTTGTCCTCTCTCTGTTGTAAACAGCAACAACAAAGACAGCAGTAATAGGTTTATCAAGCTCTCTAGGCTGAGCCTCACCAGCTCTCTGTCCAGTCTTATTTCTGCAACGCCTGCGTAAATTAGGAAGGAGCTGGCCGGTGCCATCTCCTTTCTCCTCCCCCGGCGCAGCTGAGGCTCACGGAGCCGCGGGCAGGCGTTGCAGGCGGCCCGGCGGCGGGGCGCGACCGGACCCCCGGCAAGCCGCGGGCCCGCCCGCCGCCGCGGAGCTCCCGGGGAGCGGGGCGGCCCGTCCCGGGCGGGGATTTCGTCGGTCTCTGCCGGCGCCGCTGCGCCGGGACGGTCTGCGGTCTGCCGCCGTCCCGCTGCCCCGACGGTGCGCGGGGCGATGAGACGCACGCCGGGCCAGCTGCGCACCCCCCCCCCCGCCGCACCGCCCGCGGGGGTTCCGGCTCGGCTAACGAGAGGGAAGCCCCTCCGCCGCACTCGGGCGGGGACCGGGCGCTAATCCAGGCTGTGAGCACCGGCAGCGAGCGCTCGTTCCCCGGGGAACCAGCCCCGCCGGGACTCCGTTGGCTTGCACGGGACCGATGGAATAGGGTAAGAGCGCGGCCTCCGCCTCCCCCGCGTCGGCGGGACAGGACCGAGCCCCGCGGCACCACCCGGCCGCCCCGCCGGCTTCGTTTGCAGCCGGGCTGCGGTGCTGGCGGTGGGGTGGGCCGGGGGCGCCCCGGACCCGCGCCCGCAGCGGGGAGAGCGCAGTGCCCCCTCGGCCGGCTCGCCGCCTGCCCGCGGCGAGATGGGCCCGCTGCTCCCCCGGGCCGTCCTTGTCCGTGTCTGTGTCTCGCCTCCGCCCCGCTCCCGCGGGACACTTTTTGGCCCTCGCCGCAGCCAGGGGCGCGCAGGCAGTCGACGCGCGTTACCCCGGCTGCCGCTGGCCCCCGCGGCGTTTGCGCAGCTCTCCCGGAGGCGGGGGGCCGCTGCCCCGCAGCCCGGGCCCACCCGCCGGGTCGCTCGGAAGCGCGGCCGTCGTGCCGGCGGCCCGGTCGTGCGAGTCGCGAAGAGCACATACGAAGCCCGTCTCCTGCTCCTGTCCTCTGGGTTAAAACTCGCTCTAGAACAGTGCTCTGAGGCCGGCCGATAATTTTTATCTGTCTCCAGTGACGCTTGTTGCACATCAGTGGCACGTTTGTCTTGCTCACTGACTTTCTTGGAGTCTAAAACCTCAGTTTTCCAGGTGGAAAAACGGGGTGTTTATCTCTGCAGACCGCGTGACGTGATAAAACCGTTTTTGTGTCTTTTTCCTCCGGCCCGCCGACGAGCGGGGGCACCGAAAGAGGCTTCCGCGGGAACCACGAGCAGGTATCGTCCGGGCGGCCCCCGCTCCCGGCCTCCCGGGCGGGTTGCGCGTCCCCGCCTGCCCCACTGCTCCCTCTCCCCGGTGCCTCTGGGCCCCCTCCTCTCGGCCAGACCGCCCCTTCTTTCCGGGACGCTCGGAGCGCAGCCCCGAGCGGCTGCCAGGCAGCTCCAGGTCCGAGCACTCTAAGCCTTAAGCAAACCCCGTTTCGGCTGCAGAGGCCGTGCCGCTCGGGGAGGACGCAGCGGCGGGGCAGCCCCCCGGCCGGCTGCGGAGCGGCTGCACCGTGCGCTGGGTGCCCGCGCCCCGAGACGAGCCCCGCAGCAGCTGCTCTCGCCCCGAGTGACCGCGGTAAAACAATCCGGGGCTTCGCTGCCTGGGAAACGGGCCGTCCCGGGGAGCCGCTGCCCGGCGGGTGCGGAGCGCGGGAGCTCACTGGCGCCGGTGCCGGTGGGGATCACCACCCGCCGAGCCCGCTGCCTGCGGCCCTGACCGCTTTGGCAGAGGACTTACTCGAGTGGAAATAAAACCGTCTGAGACGCTTCTGATCACAGGTACGTTCCACTGCCGGCAGGGGCCCTCGGCCGGGTTAGTCGGGGACCGCGAAAGCCGCTATGGCGTGCGGACACGCCGTGTGCGCCGCGCAGGACGCCGCTGCGCGGGGGCTCGTTCCGGCGGAGGAAAGCGGGGACGGGTGGCGGGCGGCGCCGGGCCCCTCGCCGAACCGTCCCCGCAGCCGGGCCGCCCCGCAGCCGGGCCGCCTCCGCCACGAATGACGGCCCGCTCCCGGGGCGCTGTCCCCCGCCCGCACCGGCCGCGCGGCACGGGTCTCTCCCGCGGGTCCGGCAGAGCGGGCCCGGCCGCCCGCCCCCCGCCCGCTGCCCCGCGCTCCGCGGGGCCCGGCCCGGCCTCCGCCGGCGGCGGGCGGCGCCCCCTGGCGGCCTCGGGCGGCGACGGGCGGGTCCCGGGCGGCGGGGCCGGTTCGTGGGACGGCTCGTGTGTCCCCCCCCCCCCACTCCGCGCCGCTCCCGCGGTGCCCGATCCCGCCGCTCGCCGCGGCGCTTCCGCCGGTCTGCGCGGAGGGCGGGAGGCGGGGGCGTCGCGCCGCCTCTCTCGGCCCGGTTGCCGCTCGTCTCCGGGAGCGGGCGCGTTGCGGCCGGCGGCGGGGCGCCGGGCCCTCGGTGCGAAGGGAGGCCGGCACCGGCGGTCGGGGAGACCGGCGCGGGAGCTGCGCGCTGTCCCCTGCGGCGGCCCCCGCTCGCACAACGTGGCTGCGGGGAAACGGAGCGCGCCGTTCCCTCCGGCTGTGAAACCATCACGGGCTTTTATGGGGCTGCTGTTGATAATAAAGACAGCATCGTACGAACGTATTAGGACGTAGTTCCAGGTTGGGCAGAGCATTAATTCCCACCGTTTAAAATTAATGAACGTTTTGTTTTCTCCTGACTTGAGTAACCTTTCTGGCAAAGGACAGGGAAGCAAAACTGAGATTAGCACCATCAAATTAACCTGAAACTTACTCTTTCCGAAATTTTCAGAATGGAGTATTCGAGTACATTGTCCATAATAAATACAACAGCACAAATAACTTCAGACAAGTTCTGTTTATCCTGCCAGTACTTCTTTTTGTCATGTATACGGCCAAAGCACCTTTTATTGTAGCTTTTGCGCAGCTGAAAATGTCCGAGAGGCTATGTGCTAAAAGAAAATAAACCACGAATAGGAATAATCTGTTTACATTTATTGAGTGTGAATGCATGTGCTTTCTGTCTCACTTTATGGACTACAGAGAAGTCAGATGTGCAGTACATGAAAGCATTCCCCACTGTGTTGTACATTATCCCAAAGTGCAGCTGTAAATGTCTGTGTCAAAACAGTGAGTGGGGAAGGGGTAGCTCAGGGCAGCTCTCCACATAGGCTTCCTTTTCTGAATTATTCTGCTTCTGGTGGAGGTAGGAGTGAAGCTATCTAGGGGAGGGAAAACTATATTGTTGCATGGAGTTAATTACAACTTTAGTGACAAGAGAGCAGGCAAATCCATGCTGAGGCCCAGTAATCACACTGTCTGCCTGTGTTCCCGGCAGCTTGGATGCTGCTTCTTCACAGCATACTTAAAAGAGGTCCTTTTGTGTTTAAAAATGAGGGGTGTTTGGGGCTAATAATGCAGTCACTAGAAAACAAAGTAGTTTTAGACTAGATGATCTCTGTTGAAGCATCTTCACAGGATGATGTATGTTCTGGGAAAGGACATATTTAATATTTTTCATTACGATCCTTGGCACAAAAAGTAGGAATATGCTAATGGTTCAGAGCTCAGAGTCCTCATCAGTACAGTGTAGCACACAAGAGAAACAGGATGACCTTGAGAACAGTGTGACAGAAATGTGAAGGTTTGTAACAATACAAAAATTAAGTTATTCCCTTAGAGTATGGTATTATTATAGTATTGTGCTTAGGGCAAAATACAAAACAGCATTCCAGTCAGGTGTGACAGAATTGAGACTCTCACATTTAGGAGAGGGATTTGCAGAATTTTTTTCCCAAGAGCTTGAAATTGAGGAGAATACAAATTCTATGATGGTACATGCCCTACCATCTTGGCAGAGCTGACCATTTGGGTGCTTGTTCCCTGTCTGCTTGAGACTGTAGACTAGGGTGAAGTTCAAGACAGGTGAATAAAATCAGTGATGTAACAAGGGATCAGATTTAACAGTCTGGGAAATCCTTTTATTTCTCAAACTCTCATCTCCTCTGTTTCCTCTTGTTACTCTACCCACTGATGTTCACTTGTCCTGTCCATTCATCCTGCTTCGGACAGGCACCGCTGAGCCCAGGACAGCAAAGGAGCAGAGAGCTGCTGTGGAGGGAATCAGCCCCTGAAGGTGTGCCTCCACAGGAGGAAATGCTCTACTTGTTTGAGTATCTGAGGGCTTCCAGGTTATTCACTACTAAGTTGTGTGTACCCAGTAGTTTTGACTTTTTATTTGAACATCTCAGGGCAAAGTCTCCTCATAGGTCTGTGTGTACGCATAAGGCAGACTGTCCCCCACCCTCCCGTGCAGGTCCTGTATTGCCAGGGTTAGCTCTGCCATATGGGCTGAACAAGGGAGAAGAGCATACAGCAGGGAGTACTGAAAGAAACCCAGGGCCGGGAGGAGTCTGTAACCTTCCCAGCTTCCTCTGCCACTCTGACACAGTCTGGCATCTTTATGTTCGCAAGGACATTTACTGAAAACTGAATCCACTGGCAGAATAACCGTGATGAAGACCAGAATGCGCAGTACAGAAACGCTGCTGGTCTGGGGGCCCTTGCATGCCACAGTGAGAACTACACAGAGAAATGTCAGCTGATCAGTAAAATTTATGGATGCTGTACTTTGTCATTAAAGGAGAAACATATTTGCAGAGGAATTTTTTTTTTTTTTTTCCATTTTTGTGATGGCCAGCTGAGTCATTCTGTTTGTACGCACAAAAATGTCTAATAAATAACTTTCCATGATTGTGTGAAAATTCATTCTCAAAAGATATGGACAGAAAAAAACGGCAACAATGTATCCTCATGCAAGAGTTTGTGCTTAAGCTGCATGGTTTTTCATTTGCAATCTGTCATTATGAACAAAGCAGTAGTAAGTATCTCTTTTAACAACTGTCTGGTGGTCTGTATCTTTATAGCTTACTAATACAATGGTCCTAATTATATCCTTAAACTTGAGCGCTGTATTACAAGGTTGTATAAATAAAGCTGACTGAGCACTCATTTATATGTAGACTTCAATTTATTTTAACACTGAATGTATTTTTGTAAGGCTGGAAGGAATCTTTTCCTAAATCTTGTATCATTCTTCTCCTTAGCAATAAATCATTACAGAGCCTCAGTGCCAGAAGCTAGTTAACCCCGGTGGTGTTTAAGCCTGGAATTTCTAGTTGGAAAGTTTGTAGCCTTGTGTCCTTTGCCAGTGATATCTGAGGATTAATTGTAGCACAAGAAACTCATTTGCAAACTGTCTTACAGCTGAGGGACGCAGTTTCCCCTCCACAGAATTCAGTCTCTGTCCTGTGCTGTAAACCCCAAACAAAGCTCCGTAGTAAAGGTTTTATATTTTGTTACCACCTTTCTAAACTGTTACAGAATTAGAAAATAGCTCTGCATTACAGCCAGACTGTTGCTACAGCTCAGCCATTTCTCTAATGGGCCCTGAGTGCCCTGAGCAGCCACAGCTGGGCCCTCCCTCCCACGCACCCT